TTTTTTTTCCAAACATCAATTAAACATAAATGTATCTACGAAGATTATCTATTTATATTTTTTACGTATATAGATCTTATACATATATATATATATCTGTAAAAAGGACAGAGTACTTTGTAGATTGACACTTCACTTGAAAAACAACAAATCAGTTACCTGTCAATGCATGGCACTCTTCGGAGAGTCAGTGATGTTCAAGAAGCTCACCAAGTACAAGGCCAACGACATCTTCGAGAGAGGTGTGTGGGTTGGCAAACATAGCTGGAACGATCATCGCGTGGTGCTCACTGCTGCTGGAGCATTTGAGGCCAGGACAATTCGACGATTGGCAGCAGAAGATGCATTCATCGCCAGTGACTTGGTGATAGTGAAGGGATTGCCGTGGGCATATAGCCCACAAGGTATTCTGATAAGAGGACGACAGAGGAGACAGCAGACTCAGGTGATGAGAAGAGGCAGAAAACAAATGAGGAATCAGGTGATGTAGAGGGGAGCCCATCAGCTGGAACACCGAGAGGAGTGGTGAGAACAGCGGAGGGGAGCAGTGAGGCAATGGCTAGTGCGTTGCCAAACAAGACGTCACGGCTATATCCTCCCCACTACGCCAGCATCCAAGCAATTGAAGCGCTTGGAGACGAGGAGCTTGGAACAGATCTCATCCTGGTGGAGATCAATGAAGAGCTTTTTGCTGGGTATGGAGGAGAGGAGGATGAGGATCCCCCAATCATGTCGGAGGAACACCTTCAGTTGCTGGACAGCGAGGCCCGAAAGAGCGAGGTGGAAAGAATGCTAGGCATCCCTGCCATGGTGGAATCGACGCGTGAGGAGGTAGAAGAGTGCAGTGGATACATCATCTCGACAAAGTTCGTCCAGACTTGGAAGCATCGTGTGGAGAAAGGAGGATGGTTTAGGAGAGCCCACCTAGTGGGCTGGGAGTTCAAGACAAGTGTGGACATCGAGCAAACGTTCGCCCCTACATCGATCATGGTCCTGCCGAAGATGTTGATCCACATGATGCTAAACATCTTGAAGGACTTCGTGGCCATGACCTTGGGCGTAAAAGATGCCTTCCTCATGGCGAGCCAGCCAGAAGATAAAGGCTTTTGTGGAGGTCTACCAATTGGTGAGATGCCTCCCTGGTCGGAGGACAGCAGCGTCCCAATGGTTCCAACTCTTTGCATCCACAGCAAAGTAACATGGCGTGGCCCAGGACCTGATGCAGCCGACCCTATTGATGAAGGTGAAGGAGATATACATCGGTCCACGTAGACGATGTCTTCATGGTTGGAAAGGAGCAAACCCTGCGGGACTATGTGAAGCACCTGCAGTCGAAGGGCTGGAACATTGAGGAGAAAGGTCCTTTCAGGATTGGCGACAAGTTCCATTACCTGAAGAGAGAGTTCCGGCTTTGCAGAGACTGGTGCGACATTCGATATGACTACAAACAGTATGGGAGCCTGGCAGAGGGCACGAATGTCTACTGCAAGGCCTACAGGAAGACCCCAATGGACCAGAGCTTTGCAAAGAGAGGCGAGCCCCCGCAGTTGGAAGGTGAGGACATCGCAAAGTTCAGGAGCGTGGTTGGACGCCTGATGTACTTAGCAGGAGAACGACCTGCATCCAGACCCAGGCATGGAAGTGTGCGTTCCACGTGTGTTCCTACATGCAAGGGACCATGGGATTTGGGGTGCGCATCGGCAGCAGGCAGAAAGGACAATCCGTGGTGGACGCGAGAGAAGGAGATGAGGCTGAAGAGAAAGAGGAGCATTTGATCGAAGTGATCACAGATGCGGATTATGCTGGAAACCGCAATGACAGGAAGAGCGCTACAAGCTTCCAGATCTTCACCGATGGCAACTTGATGGAGTTGAGGGTGAGAACCCAAAAGTCACTGGCGTTATCATCCGGCGAGTCAAAGTTCGTGGCGGTGGTAGCTGGATGTTCAGACGGCCTTTTGATCAGGCATCTATGGATGCAGATGACTGGAGAAGGATGCCAGATGAAGGTCCGCTCAGATAGCTCAGCCGTGAGGGCAATGGTGCAAAGACAAGGAATTGGGAGAGTGCGCCATTTGGATGCATCCCTCTTGTGGGCCCAGCAAAAGGAGAAGGAGAAGGTGCTCGCCACAGGAGCCATCCCAACAGAGCTGAACTGTGCAGACATCGGCGCAAAGAACTTGACCCGCAAGAGACTCTTTGGGCTACTCTACATGCTGAAGGTTGTGAACGCGGCGCATGATAGAGTTGGAGAGGATGAATTCAAGGAGCTGGAACATGAAGAGAGGATGAAGAGGGCAACAAAGAAGATCCTGAAGGACAGAACCTCCATGTGGGCACGATCGTGCTGCTGTCAAACCTATATCAGGCTGCGGGAGAGCCTGTGGGAGAAGGACATGTTGGAGGAGAGAAGTCACAGACCATGGATCATTTTCGTGGTCTGTGCAGCACTCGGAGCCTTGACCACTATGGAGTGGCTATGGCGCTATGTCAAGGACATCTTCCTGGGCATGGTCTGGAACTATGTGGCGGAGGCCATGGTGACCAAGACCCAGGAGAATAACACCTATGAGAAGGTAGAGAAGATCAGCGTGGAGACACAAGCTGATTGTTGGATCGACATGAAGGCCCTCCAGGCCTACGAATGGAGTCCATAGAGATGCAGAACAAGCTGTTCGAGCTGGATCTGTATATAGAAGAACTTCAGGAAGAGCTGAAGCAAGTTCGTGAAGAGAGAAATCAGTTCCTCCAAGAGTTGAGGACTTCTGAGGCACACGGGCTACGACTCACGCAGAGAGCGAGCCAACATCGAGTGTGCAACTCGGGGAGCGTCCGCTCGGCCCCTTTTGTGCAAAGGCAAGGCAATACGCCTACTGCCTCAGGTGTATGAATGGTTCTAGTGAGGCATGAGCATGTGCACCCATCCATACACCTGAGCACAAATCAAGAAATGTACCATTTGACCTTTTAGGCTCGAGCGAAAAGCAATCACGCGCTTCGCATAACAAGTAATACGTGTTTCTGCCTCTGAATTTTGAGCTGCTGGGAGACAAGGAAGCACCTGGGTTTGACTTTCAGCAATGCTCCCATCCAGTCAACGAGGAGAGCGCTCTGATACAATTCTGTCCGTCAAAACTTCTGCTGGTGCTTGAAGGTTCCTGAAGGAATTGAGAAGGACACAACATTGAACAAAGTACAGTACAGGCCTCCCATACAAGCAGCCCTCGAGAACATGGACCCTGAGGTATGATGTGCAGCCCATGGATGGATTGTTGGAGACACAGAATAGATTTGCATAGCTTGGGGAGGTGGATGGTGGACTATAGTTGATCTCAAATTCGAGCCAGACACTGGCAGTTTGAAGGAAAGGAAGAAACTCTTTGGTTGGATGTTTGTCATCAGTTCCTCCAGCAGGCACAGTGGTGCATTTGTATCTATATAAGTTTTGCAGGTGGTAGGCTTCAAAGAACTAGCTGAGGTTGGCAGAGAGCACCATCCACAATGTTAGTGACTTGGCGGCATTGAATCATCACTGTCCTGGACACGGGGGCAGATGAACCCGGCATTCACTTGTTTGTTTACAGCGGAGGGTTCAGTTGTGTTTAACAAACATGTGGCAAGAAGTCTCTTTGTCTGTGTTTGTGCATTTTTCTCGCTCCCTTGGCGTTCTGCGGTGCTTCCTTGCATGGGTTGTTCATGTGTGCAATTATTGCATGAACCGGTAACACCCTGTCTAGTTCCTTCATTTGCGCCTTGGTTGGCCTTTCGTGATGTTCAGGTCCTTTGCTTTTGCATGATTTGTCCATTCAAGAGGCTCCTGGTCAGCCTTGCCACTGTAACATTTGTTGGTCAGTACTGAACGACGACGCACCCGAGGTGAGAGCATGGTCGACATGAGCAGCCTGGACCTGTTTCCAGTTGGTAGTGAAAGTTGATCTTGCCGATTCGGCATCCTATCGCTACTAGGAGCAAGGACGCTACTAGTGGCCTGGCCTTACTACTAGTAACAAGTAACAAGGACGCTACTAGTAACAAAGGGCATCGCTACTAGGAGCAAGGACGCTAGATCTTGCCCTGGATTCGGCATCCTGAAGGTATCTCAGAGTCTTCCACCCACAAGTTCTTGCATTTGAGGCCTTCCATAGTGGAAGTTTATCCCTGACAAAACGGTTGACAGCCTTCCCTTCCACGCGCATTGGTTGACGCTTCTATTGAAGCTGTCGGTACCAAGATGGATACTGTATTATTTGAATAACTGCAGACTTCAGACATACTTCATATGGTTTATCTCACTCAGTATGTGTGTTCATCAATCGCTATTGTTGGTGTTGGTCAATGCCTTTTCCTGTGCTAGGTCAAATGAGCCAAATGGCAACCTTCCCTGGTGCCTTCACCGGGCTGGGAGGCTTCCAAGATCCCTTCACAGGCCTTGTGGTGTGTCGAGCCTTTTGATGGAGGTTAGCGCGAACATGAACAGCCAGGGCCGGGCCTGAGTGAATTTTTTATTTTTTGGCTCACAGCTTGTAGAAGCCAGCATAGCGTTGTGGACCTTATGCCGGTACCTGTGATAGTCTGAATGACATTGCTTCATGCAAGCAAGTCAGGTCTTTCACTCACCAGGTGTTTGCGCACACACTGAGATGAGTTCATGAGTCAAACAGTCTTCGCAAGATTTCCTTACACTAAGAGCCTTTGGTTTGCCGCACATGCAGTATATCACAAACGTTACTCCTCCTTCTTGCAAGGAGCACCCTTCTTCTAGGCGTAAAGCTTCTTTGTGGACAGGGACGGCCTTGGCTTATCAAACCTGGTGTACTTGCTCCTAGTCCTAGTAGTAAGGCCAGGAGCCCCTAGTAGCGTCCTTGCTCCTTGGCTTGGTACTTCTTCCGTTTTGAGCATTTCTGGTGCGAGGCTTCGGGCACACGGAAATTCCGCCCAAGACGGCGCCTGCGGCGGCCAAGCGCAAGTGGGAGGCTGTTCGATTCAACACTGGCCATCCAAAACCATCGGTGAGCATCCCCACACAGGTAGTCATGCAGACGGTTCCACTTTGTTTCTTGGGCGTTCCGTTCTTGGATACAATGTTGGACGCATCATAGGCTGACGTGAAAGATTGATAGTTTGCTGCTTGACGGGATTGTTTCGGGGCCTACTATGATATTTGATACTGACTGGGATAGTACAGAAGGCAAAAGGTTTGGACTTGCAACCACACCTGCTTGCTCCTTTTGACAGCGACTCAGGCCGCAACACGTATCTACAACACGTCTACAGCTATAAGAGAGGCGCAAAAAAGAAGCAGAAGCAGATATATAATGACATATATATATAAGACAATGATATACGAAAATATAGTATACTATGATATCATGCAATATGATATGATATAACATAATACAATAAAATCTAATCTGATATGATATAATACAATACAATATAATATAGTAACATATGTACATATATATATACATATACACATAATAGCGCATTTGTGATGTGCTCGCTGCGCGGCTCGCTGCGCCAGGATGTCACAGCGGAACTGGGCCGCTTCCGCGGAGTGTTCCTCGGCCTTCGGTCTGCGCAAAGCGGGTATTGTACAGTCGGTGTTTCGCGGTGTCCCCGGGTGTCGTGCCCCATGAAGTTTGACAATTCGGAATTTCTTCCACATGACAGCTGGAAACTAGGTGAGATGTGAGGCTCGGGAAGACCTGTTGAAAGTGAGGCTCCAGAGTTTAAAGGATTAGACTACTGAAATTCATGCATCCTTGGTCAATTATGCTAGCAAGGCCGAACTGCCTGAACATGTGAAAAGCATGGTCCTCGTTGTTCTACTTGTGAGGCCGTAGGGTAGCCGGTAGCGCCCTGAGGGTGAAGAGCTTTAACGGCGCCAAGGGCTTTGGGTTCATCATCAGTGAGGACACTCGCTTTCGTGAAGCAAATGACTAAATAAGTTCAGCAGGCTCATATTTCAAGTTTGTTGTAGAAGCACCACAGGTGCTGAAGGACATGAAGTGACAAGTTCATAGGAGGGAGGGTGGGATGAAAACACCCACTCCTGTAGTCTTGAGGCTCGAGCCTCAGAGAGGGGGGGGACCCCCCCCTCTCCTTTGGTGTACTTTTGTTTGAGGGGCGCGAGCCGCTTGGGTTTCATGGTGCTGCTCCCGATAGCGGAAGCTCAGGAAGTACATGTAGTACCTGACTTGTTGGTGAAGCTGCGTGTCCCCGACCCCCTCTGGGACGCCTTTGTCCTGACTGCTGGAGACCCTGGAAACGACCTTCGCTTGGTGGCCGCTATGCCGGCCTGGGCTATACCTCAAATAGTCAGTGCTTCCTCCATGGCTTCAGGAGAACGCCTCACTCCGATACAAGCGGCTCAAGTGGGGCTGGCTTGGCGCAATGCCCGGTGGGTGGTTCCTTGCAGGGCGGAGGAAATGCTGAGGCCTTCGTGGACAAGGACCCCTGGACCCCAGATGCTGGTGCGGGACCTCCTGATGGAACAGGTGGGGGCACAGGGGGTTTGAGCGGAGGTGGAGGGGCCAGTAGTGCCTCAGGTGGTGGAAAAGACAACGTCTTGAAGATGTCCAACATCGTCGACCAGACGGATGATTCGGAGACGAAATTGCCTGATGCAGTCATGTTGAACGAATGGGCACAGAGGTACATCTCCGTCATGGGTGCTCCCCCTCAAGAAGAAGAGGAACCTACAGATGCTCAACTTGCTGCCCTTCATCATCGAGTGAACGTTCAGAACCAACCACCGTATGTGGACTTTTCAGTATGGCTTCCTTTCGGTAGGAGGGTGCTGAAGAACCAGAAGTTTAGAGCCTTCATGCCGGTGGGAGACGGATCCTTTGTGATGAAGGAGTTGCCGGGACCTCAAAACTTACAACAGTGGTTGGTGAGCTGGAGGGTCTTCAAGGCGGCGTGCATTTCGTTGAACCTGGTGACACTGGCGGCCCTCCTTTTGTACGAGAAGGTCATTGAGAAGCTGGTGTTGCAGTGGCTGAGAGCTTGGGGCCTAATTGTGCAGGCAGATGACAAGGGCAGGGCCGAGAAGTTGGAGAAGATCAGAAGATCGATAACGCTGGACATTGCAGCTGGCGGAAGCCCACCCAGAGAGTTCACGGAGGCCGATCCTTGGACAGCGTGCTTTAGAGCGCTAGCGTTGGATGAGAGGTTTTGGAATGAGCAGGTGCGTCGCCCAGCTGCTGCTTGGCTGGCTAGCGGGGCACATGGCTCACCAAAGCCACCATCCGAGGCGATTGCAATGGCACACCTTCCGGGACCTCCTGCAGGAAAAGACGATGACGACGACAGGATTGACAGACGACGACAGGCCAACAGGGACAAGAGGACGGCGAAAAGGAAGAGGTGGGCGGCCAAGGGCGACTTCAACAAGGGCAAAGGCAAGGGCAAAGGGAAAGATCAAGCAGGTCAAGAGATTTGCTATAGCTGGGCGAAGGGGGTTGGACCATGCGCGGGACTCCCCCCCAGGATCAGAGTGCAAAGGAAGGATTAGGCGCGTGCGTAAATGCATGCAGTGTTTCTCACCTGGACATCCCAACGCGGAGTGCCCCAAGAAAGCAGCATCCCCCTCGTGAGCCCGAAAGGGACTAGGGACAAAGGGTGCTGCTCCTTCTTGCTTAAGGAGCGAGAGGGTGGGGGGGGGCAGATACGCGTGTTTTGACGGGAGGGATGTCTGGATGGGGGGAAACGGGGGTGAGGTTGAGTTCATTGGAGAACGGTTTGGGAGAACCCGTACTCGAGCGGTCGCGATCGTCGGTGAATGAGAGGGAGAGGTCACTCTGTGTTTTGAGTGGACGACTGGGCTCGAGTGGGGGGGCGCGACGGGACGTGGACCGGACTGGACGAGACCATGGCGAGCGCGTCGACGGAGCCCGGACCGATGGAAATAGAGGAACTCCCAGACAGGATCAAGGACCCTTTGATGCAGGCCCGTGACTTTCCTGAATATCAGGAACTGAGGACCTTCCGCTTCCTACACATGTTCAGTGGGGAGGTCGACGTGTTGGGGACTGTCTGAAGGACATGGCCAGCAGGGAAGGCATCCAGGTGGAGGTCTACAGCCTGGACAAGAAGGGGGAGGGCGACGTGGACCTTGCGAAGGATCACCCCTTCCTGGAGCTCCAGTAGAGGCGGAAGCTCATGCAGGGTTTCCTTGTAACACCTTTAGTCGAGCTCGGTGGAACATGGACCACAGGGGACCTCCACCTGTTAGGTCGCTGCAGCACATTTATGGACTGCCATCAAACTCGGTGGAGGAGCAACAGTTGGCAGACACGGGAACGCTGCTGGCGACGAGATCGGTCGAGGTCATCGGGGCCATCTTGAAGAGCCAGAGGTTGAGAAAGGTACCACAGGCTGGAACTTTTGAAAACCCCCCTGGAACAGAGACGCGTGAAGAAGGACCTGAAGCATTCATGGATGCGTTTGAGGGCCAGGTTGCTGACTACAACACGTGTTCATTTCAGGGGGGAGAACGTGTCAGGTGGTACAAACCCGGACGCTTTGCAGGCCGCTTGCTTGACCTCGAGAAGTTGAAGAAAGCCTGCGCGTGCGGCCAGTGGATTCGACACGAACCTTTGGTTGGCAGCAGGCGAACGGCTGCAGCTGCCCAAAATCCCAAACAGTTGTGTGAGGAGTACTCCAAGTTGATCATCACGGCATTCAAGCACACCATGCAGCTGGAGTACTGGAGGCACATGCTCAAGACCAAGGAGCAGGATGTATCCGCGCTCAAGAAGAAGTGGATCGCGAGCAAAGAACGCATATATCAGGGACCTCCTGAAGGACGACCGACGGCAGATCCATCAAAACGGGTTTGGGAGTTGACCCAATCGACCCAAGACATCAGGCCGGTGATGGGAACATCAAAGAAGGCCAGGAGAGAGGAAGAAAATGAACGCCACATTGGGGGCAGGAGGAATCCGGGTAGAGCGGTGGAGAAGCTGTCGAAGGTGAGACAGGTAGGCATGGACGTGTCCAGGATTTGGGACAGGTTCTTGTTGGACTACCCGGAGGCGTTGGACGTGGCCAAGAACTATGGCGCGGAGGGCAATCGGCCGAGCGTGGAGGTGGAAATGGCATGGAAAGGATGCCTCAAGCAGTTCTTTCAGACGAGGACCTTCACGGACATCGCGCTGAGGGACAAGTATGAGTTCGAGTCCCCATTGGACCCGGAGCTATGGCTCAAGGCCTCCTTGGATCCAGAGGTACACTAGGTGGATTGGATCAGGAGGGGAGTGCCACTCGGTATGAACAGGGAGATACCATGTTGTGGGATATTCCCAAAGGCTGATGACCCGGAGCAGGAGATGGAAGAGGCCCCGGAGTTAGCAGAACAGCTGGGGTTGTCACACTACAAGAGCTTCACGGATGAGCCAGAGCACGCGAGGACGGAGCTCTCGAGGCTAGTGGAAGAGGGCTTTGCGGTGGTCCTCCCGACGAACGAGGCCAACTCCATGCACAAGCACGGCACGGTGTCCAAGCTAGCGTTGCTGGTCAAGGAGAAGGACGACGGGAGTGTGAAGAGACGAATAATCGAGAGGATAGTGCTGCCGAGAGTGGTAGACGTGGTGGACAGCTTCAGGTACCTGTGGAAGAGCAGGGACCGCATGGCGATCAAAGCGAGGGATGAAGAATGGATCCTGGACGAGGACAGGCCGGATGGGGGCATCTACGACTTCGAGATGATCACGGCGGACCTGAGCGACGCCTACTGCCATCTGCCGGTGCATCCGGAGGAGCATGCCAACTGCTTGAGCCCAGGACTCCATCAAACAGAAACGCTAATGTGGGTGGCTATGCTGTTCGGCTTCCGTGGGGCACCTCTTTTTTAATGGGGAGGTTTGCTGCGTGCCTGGCGAGGTTGTGGCAATCCCTCATAGCTCCCTCTGAGATGCAGAGTCAGCTGTTTATGGACGATCCTATGTGGATTTTGCGGGGGCCCTCATCTAGGAGAAACAGAAACCTCGCCCTCTTGCTCTACACTGCAAGAGCCCTGGGAATATACCTTGCGTGGCACAAGGGATCCCGGGGAAGCCAGCTCACATGGATTGGAGCCATGTTTGAGGTGAAGGCCACGGAAGCGCAGATCAACTTGACCGTGCCCAAGAAGATGATGATGGAGATCAAGAGTGCGCTTGAGGCCTGGGAGAACAAGGGGATGGTCAGCCTGAAGGAGGTGCAGCAAGTGACGGGACGCCTTTCATGGGTGGCCGGGATCCTTCCCAGAACGCGCTGGGCAGTCAGCATTATGTATGCCGTGATAGCTGACACCAAGCGGGACGAAGATCAGGAACGCAAGAGAGCATCCAAGAGAGCGGACCAGAGGCCCAAGTTTGGATTGGTATCCGTGAAACGATTGGAGCTGCCCAGGCGTTGGTTTGTGACGTTGTTCAAGGATCCGGAGGCACTAGCTTTGCGCTCGGAACCGATGGAAGAGTTGCTGCCAGACTACGCCATTGTGACGGACGCGTCCCCCCAAGATATCGGAGCCATTTTGGCAACAGTGGCTTCACGATCTTAGAGGCCCTGGAGATTCCGGTGTTGGAGGAGGACGCCAAATGGCTGGGAGTGCCATGGAAGGAATCAGCGTCTCAAGGCCCGCTTGAAGCATGGGCGGTCAAACTGGCTTTCAAACGGTGGGGAGCAAAGTTGGAGGGCAAGAGTGTGGTGTTGAGGAGTGACAGCGTCGTGGCCCTTGCGATGACGAAGCGGTTATCTTCGCCTTCACCCGTGGTGAATTGGGTAGGGGCTGAGCTTGCGATCAGATGCGACAAGCGCAACGTCCGAAGGATCGTGGCCCAGCACATTCCGGGAAACTGGAACGTGGAAGCGGACTGGCTGTCTCGCCCACACGATCGCAGCGCTACGAAGCCAGAGCGGCTGGAAAAGGCGCCCATCAAGACTTTCCCAAGGAATATGATGCACCGAGCCTACCTGAATCCACCGGGTGTGGCCCCACTTTTTGTGGGGGCGGCCAGCCAAGTGTCCGGAGCCTTCGAGCTGCTGTGAAGGGATGGTGATGAAAAGAAGCACCATTCTCGGCTTGAGGGCAAGGGACAGGGGCTGCTGAGAGGTGACTTCTTGGCCAAGTCATCCAAAGCGGCACAAAAGACCAAGCGCGAGCAGGTCTTGGCTATGGCGAGAGCCAGTTTGGGTCAGGGACGACAGATCTTTCCACTGCAGTTGAGCACGATAGAGGACGTGGCGGCGGCTATCAAGGCGGGCGGCTGGTCTTCGGGTGATCAATACCTGAACGAACTCAAGCTGATGCATGTGGAAGCCGGCTTTGAAGTGACCCTGCAGATGAATAAGCTGCTGGTGGACTGCAAAAGATAGGTCCAGTGAGACGGGCACCCGAAGTGAACCTCAATGACATCGAACAGCTGAAGTGGATGATGTGCTGCAAAGGCCCCAGAAGAACGTTGAGACCGGCACTGGCCTACGCCTGGGCAGTGATCTGGATGTTGAGGGAAATTGAGGTGGGTGCGATGAAGTGGAAGGATGTGAAAGTGAACGAGCAGAACAAAAGAATAACCATCTTCATCCCCCTCTCGAAGTGCGACCAACAGGGCTTGGGCGTGAGACGTACACTGCAGTGCTGCATGGGCAAGCCCTGCCCTCGGTGGTGTTGCTGGAGAGTGTGGAATGAGATCTGGAAGGCCTATCGAGGGCAGGAGAGAAACCCACAGGAGTTCATCTTCCAGGACATTGAGGGCAGAAAACTGTCCAAAACTAGGATGGTGGAGGGATGGGCTTTGACGACGTGCGATCAAGTTCAAGGACACTCGGCCCGCAGATCAGGTGCAATGAACTACGTCAGATTGGGGATGCCCATCCAAGAGTTGGCCTTCTTGGGAAGGTGGAAGTCTTTTGTGGTGCTGTCGTATGCAGAGGACGCCCCACAGTCAGAGCCTGCAAACAAAAGCATCAGCGACAGAAGGACGCAGAAAACCAAGAAGGAGGAGGTGAACTTGGACGAAACCCCCGTCGTGGACCTCGTCAAGGACCTGCCCATGGAAGAGATGAACAAAAGTCCAGGCGAAGAGCTGGTGGTGTCACAGCTACCCAAAAAGCTGTGGGTGGCTTCAACGGCATACAGCTCCAGGGAGAGAGTCTGGCATCAAGTGGAAGGAGCAAGCTGGAATGTCCCTATAGAAACCTGGACTTCGGTGTGCGGCTGGCCCTTTAGCAGGAACTCCTCGAAGGTAGCCCTACAATCACAGCTCACTTTGAGCCAGAGAAAATGCAAGAAGTGCTTACGGAAAGCTTGCGGCGATGCCAATGAGGTCGAGGTGGCAAGCTGAAAATGGACAGCTGACCTTGTTGATGAACAAGACCCAAGGTGAAAAGACAAAACCTTGGGAAAAGCATCCAACCAAAAGGGCGTGAGCACCTGTCTTCCTTGGAGGGAGGGTGGGAATGAAAGAACAAAGAGCTTCTTGTCTCCGTTATATAAGTGTCATTTGGAACAGGGAGAGTGAGATCAACAGTTCTTTGATGGGTCCATTGCACCATCCACTGTGCATTCGGCAAACTTCTGAGAAGTCCTTAGGCCCAGGCTCCTGTTTGGATGTTGGAGGGCATTTCTCGGAAACTCGCATTTGTAGCGGATGAGAGAAGCTTGGCGAGTGGCCCCTCGACTCGTCGCCTACCGTTGTTTACATCCCAGGAGCTGCAAGCGCACGGCTACACGCAGGATGTTTTTTTGAGCCAAGCGCACACGCCAGCGACTGCGCAGGCAGGGGAAGAGGATGACTTGTTGTCCTTTCAAAGCCTTCAGCCGTAGTCTTTGCTTGACACCTGAAACGACGACTCAGACGTGGGGACTAATGTCGATGTCAGTTTGCCTGCTCCAAACAAGCCAACGCTGAAGGAAGTAGCATCATGAAACTATCAACATGGACTTGTGAATACGAAGAAGCAGAGGAGCAAACCCAAAAACACATGGAAAGGCTGGCTCCAACGTGAGCTTCACGGCTTTCCTCAATGAGAGGAGCCAACCCCAAGCGAAGGCTCGGAGATGTTTCTGCCACTGGGAACATTGTGTGTTGGTTTGAGCATGTTGATCATGTTGGTTTATAGTTTCTTTTCTCCAAATAGCTGCAAACTGTAGAGACTTCTTACTTCTCGGATTCTTACTTCGAATCAGGAGTCTATGGCAGGAAACTCTCAAACTTGGGCTTGTGACTGTGGTTGCCACGGTGGCTGTCTCGAAGCTTGTCCCCAGCTTGTCTCTCCCATCATATTTGGGTGGTGGCAGTGGTGGCATGTTGGTGTGGTCTCATCACTGCATGGTGGCTTTGGCACGGTGGTGTGCTGACATTCTAACGTGGTGGTATGATGACACGCTGCTCTGCGACCATCGCGTCAAATCACTCATATCAAGACATAGATATACTGTGTATATATAATTGTGGGCTGTTTTGATGTTCTGCTGTGTGTTAAAAACTAAGTGGAAATGTGTATGCCATAGCTGTGCAACAGATAACACAGTCCCACAGCAGGTTTCAAGACCTTTCAAAGAATTGCTCTATCTTGGGCCTATGCCCATGTCAGAGTATTCTTTTGACTTGCTTTTTGAGGTTGAAGCCTTGTGTGTCTGTTTCAAGCTGAGGAACTGAGATTGATTTAGATTAGCATAATTACTGTTTCTGCTTTGACCGCATGCATAATTTTCATATGGACCTACCTTGGGCATCCGTCACTCACCCTCAGCCATGCCAGAATGTGGAGCTGATTTGATGGGGCTGATAGACGCTGGCTGAAGCCAAGCTGGCGAAGTGAATTGAAGCGCCTGCTTTCCTGGCCAATGGAACGCGGAGGCCACTGCTTCCCAACAACGGAGCTCAGTAACGCCTTTTAGTAGTCTTTGCTTTTATACGACAGTTGCCAGCTAACCAGACTGTGATTGACCATCACAGTATGTGGTTCTGTGCTTGATGTGCAAGGTTCCAGAACATCTTGGGATGTGTCAGGAAAGCCTGCTTCCTTCCCAAGAGTGATATGCCCAAAGTTTATAGCCCTCTTTTGAGGATGAAAGGTCCCAGACCTTTGTCACCTGCCACAAAGCTCAGTTGCTGAACACGCAACTCGTCGAAGTAGGCGAGGGTGTGATTGGGTCCAGTCTGAATGATAACCGTGTCTTCAAAGAGGCCCATTGTTTGCAAGGCTTTCTCAATCCACGTCCAGGCAATCAGGGATCGGTTATAAAGGTGGGACATGACATGGGTGAGAAGGACGAGGATGTTGATGAGCAGCGTTGTTGACTGGGGGAGACTGGCTCCCATCACATCCCGCACTGGCTTGCTGGTGGGCACTGCCTGACGCAGATCATCTTGCCGCAGGCCGAAAAAGCAGTTTGCACTCATCCAAGTGCAAAAGTCTACTGTTCTGCCTTTTGTCAAGGCCTTAGCAACTTCCCGTTGTGCTGAAGATCAACAAACCGCAAACCGAATTTACAGCTGACAAACGGTGGGTGATTCCTGCTTGTTGAATTCTAATCCCTGCTTTCGCAACTGTCCTGGTTCCAGCTGTTTTTCTTTGGAACATACAATAATTTGCCATCAACATTTCAACCGCTTCATAGGACACTGAGCAGGCTAATGATGTTGAATAAACGTCTGGCACTTCTTAGGTGGTGGTCCCTAATTCCTTTCCAATTCTTCCCAACTCCTGTTGGAACAGCAACGGCATTGATAATTTGTCAGAAATGGTTAATGGTTGATTATCTTCACCTCACGCGGTGATGATGAGCAGTGCCACACTACATTTGCTTTTGGTGTAGAAGGCATGAGCGATGTGATTGCAAAGAGGCGCATTTTTAGTGAGGCGGGCCTCCACTTTTGTTTGCGGTGAAGAGGCAAACCTGTAGCCTTATAGCCTTGGTTTGCTTACTACAGCTTGAAAATATAGGTGCTCAAGATCCTTGAGGCGGCAAACAGGACAAAATGATAGCGGCGGGTGATATAATATCACCTCGTTTGGCAACCAACAACTAACAGCAATCAGCAAGGTCCAAACGCTCCCTGAGGCACGCCAGAAGCTTAAGAACATCCGAGCGGCTGTGGCTGCAGTTGCTGGGTTGCATTTCTCTTCCTTTCATCAGGAAGGCTGCACCACATTGGCAGTGTTGTGGCAACGCATTATTGCTCAGATACTGCAATAGTATCTGATAGTATCCGTGGCTGCCAGGCCTGTGTTAAAGAATGAAAGAAAAGACTGGGGCATGTTCATAGCTTTGCCCATCTTGCTTTCTGCAGTGAGGGCAGCATTGCTGCTGCAAAGACAGTGATATTGCATGCGTCGTTTTGCAAGAAACACATCAGTAAGGCACATCGATCTCATCAGCAGAAGCCTGCATCAAATTTGTCAAAGCAACATGACAGTGGGACTTTCCAATACGTATAGTGGTAGACTAGCAGTTAGAATTTTTAGTGAGGACAAAAAAGCTAGCAACCTAGGACTTGCTAGAAAACTGAAAAAGCAGTTAGAATTGTCTGAAGAGAAAAAACGTCGCACATAGAATTAAAACATCCACATAGAATTAACAAACATAGAATTAACATTGTCACATGATTGCACGATTACCCGAGTTTGCCAAAACATGAGAGCGTCCAATGACTCGCAGCTTGCGGTGCTTGAGGGAAGAGTAGGAAGGGCAGAGTGTAAAGATAAGGGCAGAACCCCATCAATGCAAGCAAGTGATGCTTGGCTTTCTCAAACAGCAACAATTTTCTATTTAAGGTTTGCGCTTTTTTTTGGCCGGCGCGTTTCTAGTTGCAATGAATTTGTCCGAGCTACATTCACAACTGGAGGACGGGTGTTCACAACAAAGTGTAGATTGGTTTCTAGATGGATGGTATATTATAGGCGACCAGTTTGTTCCTTTGAGCATATGTTTGAACACATAATTTTGAATGCAGTTAGAATTATTTTTAATGTTTAGGATTAGCCTGCCCTTCAAAATAGCCAATCAGTTCCAAATGCATCTGGAATTCATCGTTTCGACCGGGAAAAAGGAAAGGCAGCGTTTTTGTTGGTCGTTTTGTTTGCTGGTAAAATGCATGGGTTGCATGTATGTTGGATCAATGGAATGTCATTTCTAGTTGCATAATTTACTAATTCTAAGTGCATAATCCTTGAAAAACAATTCTAACTACTAAAAAGCGCCAATTGCATTCTATCTGTAGAGAAAAATCTAATTGAAAGTGCATCCCTAGAAAATTTGTCAATTCTAAGTGGTAGTCCGCCACTATAGAGTTTCTGTGGGTGGTGAACTGGTCTTTGGACGTGCCCTTCAGGTAACACTTGGAAAAAGCCAGAACCAGTAGGACATTTAGTGCTCTCGTGCGGATGGAATTACGGACCAATACACATCCACAGTCATCTCATGCATCCAGCACAGAGAGAGTCGCGAAAAAGGGTAAGGGCCCCTTTGATAGGCCTTGTTAAAGGAGCCCTTACCCTTTTTGTCGCCTCTTGTTGTACTGGACATAGTGGATGCATGAGATGACTGTGGGTGTGTAATTGTTTTGAGTTTTGGCTATCGAAGATCAAAGCTGTTTCTATCCTCGTAGCCATGGCATGGCCGGCTCAGGTGTCCTCACCGGAAGACCGAAAGAAACAAAACGCAAGGGCCAAGGTGAGGAGTTCAGGAGTTCAGGAGTAAACCTGTTTACTTGTCGAGCAGAAAGGCTGAAAGATCGCCGAAAGATTGAACGGTCTTGGCGTCTTTGTTTGAGTTTTTTTCGGTCCGTTTGCACAGCACAGTTCTGAAGTTTCAGATTCATTTGACAGCTGTATGGAAAGCAGGTCCAATGTAAAGTGGCACGCCTAAAATAGAACCATACTGTACAGCATTTTACCTTTGTTCCCCCAATGGGAAGGATGACAGAGCAAGCACAAATTCAAGCAACATGTAGATTTTGTTTCTCTTTCTGTAACAGCTATTGGAAACGGATATGTGCGCTTTTCCTTTGATGTACCTGGACACATGTGCACAGAGCCATCAATGTCAGTTGCTTTCACCTCATTCCCGGGAATGACGTATACACGACCCACATGTAAGCCCCTCCGCATCATAAGCACCACTTGCATTGTTCCCGCACTTGACTCTTTCCTGGAGGCTCAACAGAACTGGGACTTTCTAAAACATGACGCTTGGATGGCACACGTGGCAGCCTAGTGACCCCACATCAATGGTGACAGGAGGTCCAAGCACCAAGTGGATGCTGTTGATCGAGGTTTCCCGTTTGCGCATAAGCATGGTCTAGGGTTGGGTTAAACCCATACCAAATCACCCAAGACATGAGAGCTTCTTTACCCACGACATGAGACCTGGTGGGAGCTGGCAGTCAACACCTCTCTTGACCAGACGTTTCTTCTGGTTCTTTGATTCAGATGGGAGGAGTCAAGGCTGGACTGCAGACTCTAAGTGCTAAAGTGCTAAGGCATGTTCGGCCATCGTGTCCTGTTCCAAAGAGACAATCGCGGCCAGACACTTGCCTCAAATGGAAATCTTGGCCAATACTTTGACTTCAGCAAAGGCAAAAATAAGGACCTCAGAAGGAAAAGGACAATTCTGGGCTCAAAAGGCTTTCGACAATTTTAGACATGCAAGACATGTTTCGCTGATGTTTGCTGCCTTTTTTGCTTTGGGTGAAGATCTCCACACACTTAGGATAGGGTGTACGGAACTGAAAGCGGCGCCACACGCCGGCCTAGGGTACCATTTCCTAAGAGTACAAGTAGGAAACCACTGGAGCCTCGGGGTCCTCAAATGGAGAAGGGGCCAAACTCGCAAGTCGAAGTCGAAACGATAGGGTGACGACGTAGCGTGCAAGTCTGCGGAGTGTCAAGCTCAACTCAGCAAAGGTTAAAATTCAAGCAGGTACGTCAGAGTGGCCAACTCTGATTTCACCAGATCAGATGGGCGTCTTCGTTGGTAGCGGTCCCAAGTGATCTGCCGCTACCCCCTGCTCTAAATGAAGAAAGCTCAGTGTACAACTCAAAAGAATCCCTGTGACTACAAGGGGCACACACTTATGGATATGCGTACTGATTTGACAGCGGTGCCACACGCCAGCCTAAGTTTTTAAAAGGCTTGAGGTGGCAGGAAAATGTAGGTTAAAGGCCATCGGTTTTGGGTTGGAGGCCATCGCAAGGCTGTTGGGGGCCAAGACCTAAGGTTGGAGGCCATCGCTAGTAGGCGGTGGACCATAGACACAAAGTGACAGCAAGAACAAAGTTGGAGGTCATCGCTAGTAGGTTGGAGGCCAGGGTACCAAGTTGGAGGCCAGTGCTACCAGGTTGCAGAAAGCACAAGAAGCACAAGAAACACAAGACAGCCAAGGTTGGAGGTCCTTGCTAGTGGGTGGGGGCCAGGGTGCCAAGTTGGAGGCCAGTGCTACAAGGTTACAAGAAGCACAAAAAGCACAATTATAGGACCGGATAACCCCACATGTGAACAACTTCGACAGATTGAGGCTGCAGGGGTAAAGTGTGGAAGAGTGAGCGTGGGGAAGAGACAGGCGAAACAGATATAAGGCGTGAGGGTCTCTGTGTGTACGTGAGGTGTGTGTGTGTGTCCCACCCTGGACAAAGGGTCTTACCCCACCACTCTTCCCATTTTACACAGGCAGGGGGGCAATGCACGACTGACAGACATTGCCCAACGAAGACGCTGTCAGCTCGTGGTGAAGCAATGCGGGACGCCGCATTGTGTACCTGCCGAGGTTTTTTTC